GCACATCCAACATCCAATGGATTTAGTGCAAAGACGTCATAAACAGTCAGAGAAAAACATGATATTGTGCAATGCCAAGATACGGGTATCGACAGATTGTAGAGCCATGAATATGCGTATGTATATAAAAATAATATTTAGTTTGATTTTAATTTACTGATAACACAATCAATATTGATACCAATAAAAACAATATTCAAAGATCTAATTACTGTGCTGAATTGGTAACCTTTTAGAATAAATTTTTTAAAGGATCGATAAGTTTACCCGGATCGTTTCTAAATTTTGGGGCTCGGTAAACAACATCTCCGTAAAAAACAGGATGTGCTATCCCGTTTGAAATAAGTTTTCTACAGGTACAACCAAACTTGAAAACCAAATCTTTATATCTATGGAAGAATTTAGTAAAGGTTTGAAGTAATTTGCGGATACGAAATCCCTTAATACTTTACCAGTAATACATAGATTATGTTCATTAAAATCCAAAACGTCACCGCAGACACGGGCAAAGCGAACGAGTTGTGATTTATAAACACCGTAAGATGGTGCCAAAGGAACATCACCGTCCAAAAAAGAAAAATCGTCCCTTTTGTCGTAAATTTTAGTGTAGAGTTTCCCGTGTGAAATTGAAATATCTATTTCTAGGAAATGACAGTTATTACCATTTATATTTGATATTTTTAGTTTAAGCACCTTTGGGTAAATTTCGGCAGTATATTTAGAAAATTCTTGATTATTTAACGAAAAAATATCATCAAGATAGCGGTAAGTGTTGTTGAATTTATCAATTAAATGCAATTTAAAAGGTTCTTTACTGAGTTTGGTCATAAACTGTTATTGATAACAGTACAAGAACAAGTCTGCTATAAAAGGGGCGCAATTGGTGCCCATAGAATTACCTACAACCTGTCGATAAACTGTATTGCCGAAACGTACATGAATATTATTAAGGAGAAAATTAACAGCTTCAATCATCTCATCACACCTCAAGTAAGTATATCAAGCATATTTACCTTTCTCATTAGAGAAGAAGGCTTTGAATGAGTTGCAGCAAATATAATTGCATTCAGATTTAACAAACGACCAGTTAATTAAATAGGAAAACTTTTCTTTGATAAGATTGTGTGGAAGTGTAATGTAAAGGGTGAAAAAAGACCATCAAAAGCACGTAGTTTATCTAAAACATCGAAAGAATTGTTTACACTCCAATAATAGTTAATTCCACTATTTTCATATATTTTAATACAAAAGTTTTAAATGATAATTTTTTTGATAGAAGTTAAGGAACTTGTTAAAAGCACTGAAAGATTAGTTGTAGAACACTTACTAGAGGCCGAGATGAAACGATATTTTACTGGGTTTTTTTTGTGTAGTTTAGGTAACCAATACATAGTAGGGACCTTCAAATGTTCAGAAAAGGCCTTAAGCTGTGATGTGATTATCATATGTTTGTTTACTATATGACTCTCTGTGGAGCGCACGGACTTGAATGTAGAAGAATTTAAAATCTCATTCTTAAGAACATCCGTGTAGTATTTACGGCATACCACCACCACATTGTTGGCTGCTTTGTCGGCCGGTACAAACACAAACCGATTTGAAAGTACTTGAAGTTTGTTTATTATTCTAGAAAAAGGCATATTATGTACTCTTTTATCTATTTCTGAATTATTTTCAAATATCCACAACATGCATACATTTATTTAAACAAGAATCAAGAGATTCTTTATCAGATTTTTCCCGTTTACACCAATTTTTACGACGAAGGAGCATCTTTTGTGACCTGACGACAATGTTTCCAATCTATTTTAGATGGAGGACGATATTTTGGTTCTTTTTTCAAAAAGTTTTTAACCTCTCGGTCTTGAACAATATTGAGGTCACCCCGTAATAACATGGCCATAGGGATCATATCTAAAGTTCGATACATATTTTATTGATATAGGAAGATGTGGTATGTTTGTTTAAGCAAGGAATTGTGAATATTAGATATATAAAAAAGTTTGGTTTAAGTGTGAATAAATTAAAGCATACTGTATTTTAAATCGTTTTTCGGTTATTTGTTTGTTGTTGTTTTTGTTTGTTAGAATGACGTTGTCGGTTTCTCTTCGACTTATGATTATACGTGGAAGTACAGGCTGGCATCTCCCCTTAAAAATCTACTCGAATTGTAGAACAGATATATTTACATGCATACAAATGAAACAATGACACAATAATTTTAAATGTCATTTTGATATCTTTCGCCTGTTTTCATATGTTAAAGTCCTGTACTTTAGTGGAAATTTAAAAATGCGAAAAATGTGATAAAGAGAAAATACACAGGCTTCTTAAGTGATGGTTGAAATTCTTTATTCTTTAGATTTGAATGGAATGTTATTTACATTATACCATTCTACAGTATATTCCTGATGAAAACTTTGTCGATTACCTTATCTGTCTAGTTATCTTATTTTACAACACTTCGGTTCAGTCGGCAGACTTTATTGCTCTATGAAAAGTTTGTATTACATAATCTCTGATATAGACACATTGATAAGCGGTGTAATTTAGATGGAATTCGCAAGAGAAATTTTAATAGTCTTCGAAATAAATTCAAAAGCATACTTCACAGATATGTTTTGTTTTACTTTACTTTAGTTAATAACATTTTTGTGAACATTTTAAAGTAATTCTAAATGGAAAAGTTTTACATCGTTATTGTTTGGCATGAAAAATAGGAGGCAGAACAAATAGTTTTGTCTACAGTAACTCTACAGTTAACATTTTCGCCCACCCTTTTTTTATCACTACCTTTTCCCCTTACTTACCGCAATTTCCCCTATTGAACCACAATTTGTTTTAGCTATTACAAATGGGTTGAACCAACTATCTAACGGTAGATTCAATAGGATCTGAGTTCCCTATTTCATTAAAAACAATCGTTTTTGCTATCGTGAACAGCAGATTTTTGTCTGTTATGCCGGTGGCCATTCTAATACAACGGATTTCGCAATCGTGTACTACATATTTTGATCTAACAGAGATTAGAAATATACACTCCGTAAGATAGGAAAAAAGAACAATGCCAAACTTGCAATCGGGTTAAGAAATGGTCTAATATCGGTTCATATTTTTCGACAGTGATTTTGACTTGACGCTTGAAGATGTTTAGTTTCAACTAAATGGCTTTCTGTAACGCTCTTTTCTGATAAATTGATCAAAACAAAAGTTTTAGAATTTTTCTTCACGTAAAATTTCGATGTAAAACTTAATAAAACAAACACAACATTGTTAACGTTTACTGTCTTATAAGCTTTGACAAAGGCATAGGTTTTATTTAAGTCTTAAATTTAAGATCTTATTCTAGTCTCGCTTTTCGTTCAGTTTCTAAAGCTAGTACAAATAAATTTTATTTTTTCAGACAATGTACATACATGTATTTTGTATATATACTTTGTCATCAATATACAGGACTTATTTTTAAATTCATTTATAGCTCTTGTCGGCAATTTTTTTTTTTTTTTCGTTTTCAGAACTAAGTTTATAATCTGAAATAGAGTTAAAGATATTATTTGTATGGGCACAAGACGTTGGTGCTTTTTTACTGTAACGCGGAAGGACATTTTCGCTCCATACATGATGGTCACTTGCGCTTTACATTTTGATACATCTGTACTGAATTTACCGGACATTTGAGCTTTTCACCTATATACTATGGACTGAACAGTCATATTACAGTAAACGATTGACAAAGGTTGCAGAATCATTTCAAGCCAACTATGATAAACAGTTTAAATTAACTAATTCTGCATTTTTTTGTCTTATTGAAAATATGCATGTACAGCAATCTGTCAACTACATCAGATATATTGATAAACGTGCACCTAAGTAACTATTGAAAGTTACATTCATTTGAGATTTGAAATTACGCGAGTCAAATACGTTGGGCTACATATATCAAGCCTAAACACTGACCTGTATGACTGTTCATGTCCTATATGTTTTTCAGAATTTAACATTTAGCTAAATAAATATATAGATATAATGTGGTTTGGGTATAAATTGAATTTTGAATATTTAACAATATCACTACTCCAGGTCAAACCTGCCGGTCCTAAACAGGATACAGACGGACAAAGTTTTAAAATAAGAAACCTCAAATATCCCGAAGAAAAAGCGAAATGTCCTGTTGATGTCATTTAAATTGAAGAGAAAATGTCTATTTAAAAACATAAATGTCCTATAACAAAGCGCAAACGTTCCACGCTGATTTTGACAAGACCTCCAATTGATTTTAAATAGGAGAGGCAATGTTTTGGTCCCTTAACCTCTTTGTCAAACTTGTCAAATAACGGTTGGGTATCAGTCTAGTTTATCCCCGGTTTAGTATATTTCTCGGATTTTGATTGAATAACGCACGTTGTAGTAGTACCCTATACCCAGTAAAAATTATGTCAAATTTCCAAGTTTCAATTACTAGTAAACGTTTATAAATGAACAAAAAACGTTGCTTTCACGTTACACTATGTGCTACAATTTTCATAAAAATCGGCAGATTCGGACTAAACCGTTGGTTTTCCTGTTTGAATTGTTTTACACTAGTCATTTTGGGCCCTTTATAGCTTGCTGTTCGGTGTGAGCCAAGGCCAAGGCCGTACTTTGACCTATAATTGTTTACTTTTTACACATTGTGACTTGGATGGATAGTTGTCTCATTGGCACTCATACCACATCTTCTTATTTATAAGACCGGGGATAAATTAGTTATCTACGTTCATATTCGCTTCAGGGTGTACTGTGATACTTCAGGGAGTTAAAATATCCACATCTACGAATATGAACGTAGATAACTTATAATATACCACTATTGTTTTTGTAACTTTTTTATTGATTGGCTTTTTATAACTTAATTTACGCTAATTGAAAAACTCGAAGATGCTTTATAAATGACATACGACATTTTGAGTGTAGAATTGTATAGATTCATTTGTTGTTGCATGACAAACATGTATATGTACCTCTTCCTTACTGTGTAGTTTTGAAGAAAATATTGCAGCAAATCCTTTCTTTATGGCTAGAACTTCGCTGTCATCAGGTGGATGGTAGACTTTCAATATCTCTCCTCTTCGAGTAATTTCGAATGAAAACCTTAAAATACATGACACAAACCTTATAATTGATAAAAGGAGATGAGGGATATACGCCCAAATGAGACAACACAAATGATAACATAATCAATTTCTCAGAATGAAGAATATATACAACATATAGAACAGTAATAAAGCTCAGGAGGAGATTTGGTGTATAATCGAGTGTGATAAGAATCCGATACTTATCCACTTGAGACAATTAAATTTTCAAATTTATAACTGAATGCAGAAATATACGAGATTCGGTAGTAGAAAAACCGTTTCATTATGATTTTCAAAAAGATGTGTTGTTTTTTTTTTATGCGACATAATCAGCCATAGTTGCTTTTTGTCGTGATGTCACATTGAATTTTGTCTAATGATGAACAATAACTGATAGCAAACGAGCCAAACGTTAATTATAAAAAGATAATCAACCAGTTGGAGAAAGTATAAATCGACTAAGATTTAGAGAACAAATTTGAAGTAATGATTAGTAATACAAATGTATTATATATGATCACATATAAATAATTTGTAGTTTCTGTTTTCGCCACGTACATTTTGCATTTAAGGCTTTCGAAATTTAAACTGCAACAAAGTATGTTGTTTTTGTTATAGAATTGAGAATGAAAATTGGGAATATGTCAAAGAGACAACAACCCGATCAAACAGCAGAAAACAGTCCAAGGCCACTAGTGGGTCTTCAACGCATCGAGAAAATCCCCCACCCGGAGGCAGGCTTCAGCTGACCCCTAAACAATAATGTTTATTTTTACTTCCATGAAAAGTGTTTCATTGTTTTATTTGGACGACGGTGCCACTCAATGAATGTACATTTTCAAGGAGACTTTCATCAATATAGGTAACTGTAACGTACCATTTTGAAAACTCTGTCAAACCATGATGATGTTCTGCAAAACATGAAAAAAGTATTTTTAAAAGGACACACCAAATTGATTAATAGTTCTCTGGATTTTCCCGCTCCTGTTTTGGAGAAATTGACTTTTCAATAAAAAAAAAATTACCGCTTCCGCAAATTTTTGATCCGAATGCCACTACAAAGTAAGTTTCTTCTTGATTTTTTTTTTTCATATAGACGCTTATCTGTTGCATATCATGCTTATATCGTTTTAAACGAACGTGTGATGATCGATTTGTAAATAAAAGGTCAAAAATCGGGATGCCAACATGCAGTTGTGTCAGCTCATTGCCGTGGACAAGTAGTTATTGAACACACAATTATCCGAAATGCTTCTCGTTTTACCTTTAAAGACCAGTTCTAGATGCAAACATTAAAAATCTTTCATTAGATGACAACAAACACATTAATATTTGTTAGAACCATCGTCACCCCCGATCCTTGTTTCAACAGGCATAGACCTATCTATCTTTTGGATGAAATGAATTGTAAAATCCCATGAACTTTCAGAAAAATCACAGAAGTATTTGATGTTGATGAAACCCCATATCCCCTTGTTAGTCTTTTGGCATGAAAGCAGAACTCTTCTTTTGGAATTTAAAGAGTTCCAACGAGAACAAGGTGATGCCGTATTGTGATTGGCATGCTCATAATAATTAGGAGTGTGTAATTAGTTCAACCACTTATAGTCAAGCTAAAGAGCTTTAAATGCATTACAGCTTTTAGGAGCAAAAGGAAAGAGTATATTGCTCAGTAAGAAAAGTTCGTGTGAATGGGGTGACAAGTATTTTAAGAGAATAGTTTGATACCTTTGGATCTACATGTATAGCAATATGACTATCTAACTCAGAATGTTGTTTTAGTACAAAGCAAGAAATATTCACCTCACTCATTATTTTGATCCTAAATATGCATAAATAGTTCCAACTGGATGTCAAGCAGCCAATAAATAAAGGCAACAGTAGTATACCGCTGTTCAATAGTCATAATTCGATTAAGCAAAAACAAATCCGGGTAACAAACTAAAACCAAGGGAAACACATCAACTATAAGAGGAAAACAACGGAACAACAGAAACACTGAACTACAACAATAAACAATCATTATCATTATAATGAAAACTATCAAATATCTTTCAGGGGCATTTTTTTGGATACATACACATATTTTAATTTAATTCAACATGTGTCTTTTACCTAACTAACATACTCCCTCTTGCTATGCTTCCTAAATATATAAATGGATTTAAATGAAAATTCACATAGACAAAGCTTACTTGAAGAAAATAACCAAAATTAACTAAACCACAGTGAGACAAGAAAGTCTGATATGCTACAGGCACAATTAAATCAAATTATATGCATTAGAGCATCTGTTGATCCTCATTTTTCTATGAAATAACATAGTTATAACATGTACATAAATTGTACAACTTCTTAATCACACAATTTAAAAAAAAAATGAAACCGCTCGCTTCACTTGTAGAGCACTCGCCTCAAAAAAACTAATTTTCAAGAAATATATAAAAACAAAAAAATTTCGCTCGCTTGCCCCATATTTTTTTGAGCTTTTGTCCAAAGAACTATTAATCAAATTGGTGTGGCCTAAAATAAAGTTTATTGGATTTAATAATTGGCTTCTACTTAATGATAATGTCAGACATACAATATTAAAAAAAACGATTTATAGACAAAGACAATTTTTTCTTCTGAAGATATGTAATTACAAATTACTGATCGAATCCACACTGGATTATGATTAACGTTAAATGGGCATTAGCTACCAATTCGAAAAAAACATTTTTTGCAAACATTTATTAAAGCGGAATAAGGAGATTCTAAACTCGCTAATAGCAGGCAGTTTGGTTCAATTTCGTCAAAATAAGCAAGAAACATCAATTCAAGGTGTATTTATGCAACCTTTAGTTTGACCTTTATGCACATGTATTCAGCATGTGGTGGTCAGCATGTTTATTCATTTAAAAGAAAAGTATGTCAATATTGAAAGTGAAACAAGGTAGACACTAGGAATAACCATTTTGTTAACTGATCCGGACCACTAAAATCATTTTTATGCAGGTTAACCGATGATGAACATATATGTTTAACCTATAACATGAAATCCAATATACATAGAAAAATCCGATTGCACGTGCTCGCTATCTATCTTTATTCATATTTATAGTTATATCGGGTAATATGATCTTCGGAAGTCTTCGGATGTCATCTCGATGGATAATTAGATGGCATCCGGGCTAAAATATGCACAAAATGCTGATATGTTATAGCGAGCCCATGCATTGTTAATTGTTTCATTTGGACTTTTTGTAATTTTGATATACGTTTTAGTATGTTATAGATAAAATATGAGAATTTGGATCAAATTTGTGAATATGAATTTGTCAGATAATGTTCCTTTAAAACTTGTTTTATTTAACGAATCGTGCTGCATTTTTCTAATCAAATATTACTGAAAGCCAGTGCCGGTAATAAGAAGCTCTCTTAGCACTTAGGATCATCTAAGACTGTCTTAGAGAATAAGAGTATAACAAGACGCAATCTTAGAATGATTAACAGCCCGCAACACATTCGAGTTTCTTACGGATTTATGGAAATTCTTTGCATTGCCTTAACAAAACCTTATCAATTATGGTAGCTTGAAAACATCTTAATTTGTTTTCCTACCTTTAGAAAGAACTCTTTGCATCAACTTAGCAATTACGAGCATAACACGATTCTGTCTTAACGTTTTAATGTAAGTATGGTTCTACCCAACCCCAGAATCCTAAACTACTCTTTGAATGAAAATGAATTGGCGCTTTTTATACATATGATGAATAATAGGCGAAAAAATCAAGATGGCTATACAAGACGTTTATTCTGTTACCGCTTAAATCCACTTGATTTTTTATGAAAAATGGACAAATTACCAAGAACTACCGGTTAGACAGAGCGAAAATATATTATTTATGGCTATTATAAGTTATCTACGTTCATATCCGTAGATATGGATATTTTAACACCCTGAAATATCCAAGTACACCCTGAGGCGCAGCCGAAGGGTGTACAGGGTACTGAAGGGTGTTAAAATATCTATATCTACGGATATGAACGTAGATAACGAATTTATCCCCGGTCTTAGTCTAAATATGGCGATCTTTGGAGAAATTCGACCACAAAGTTAAACGTGAAAGCAACGTTTTTTTCATTTTTTAAATATCTTTTTTTGAAATTTGGGAATTTGACATATTTTTAACGGGGTGTAGGGTACTACCTTTGGTAGAACCCTACAGGTAGACAAATATAAGACGTTTTTAAATTAGAGACAGAGAAACTGAAATGGGTCGAATTTGGCGCGCAATGTTGTGAGAGTTACATCATAAACGGTGTGACGTCAACGTGGGTCATTTGCATAGCTAGGTCAGTAGTACCATTCATTGACAATGTGGCTGCATAGTGATGCATTTACTAAAATGAGTGCAGATAATCGATATAATAAGATAAAATCGTTAGTCGATTAATATTTAATTATACAGACATCATGGAAAATCTACAGAATTCGATATTTCATAAGGAACAACCATGGAACTAAGGAAAACGCGCGTGAAATTCCCCGATGTAATGGGTAGCAACGTCCGGGGATATGGGTTAGCAACACCCAGGGGCTATGGGTTTTGTAACGACGTGCGTTAACCAATCAGAATCCTAGAAATATACTAAGCCGGGGATAAATCCTCATCACCCCCTCCCCCGATTTCAAATTTTGAATTTTTTAACCTGTAATGTTAATATTATAGCCGGGTAAAATGGCGTTCCGGCTAAATGGAAATCAAGAAGGAATATTTCGCTCCTTAAACTTTTATTTTAGCAGTCCGGCAAGACCGAACAACAAACTCCAAACTAAATGTAACGTAACATACAAACAATAACAGTATATATAAGCACAAGCAATTAAAGGATTAAGAAGATTAACATATGCCAAATAGAAATAACAATAGATTAGAAGAGTAATTAATGTCCGACACGTATAAGTAAATTATTGTCTAAACTGTTACAGAGAATAAATAATTAAATGAATAGAGTAAATGAATATAAGTCCTTTGTCCAAGATTATGACACATAATCCGTGTAAAACACTTATGCCTAAATTTACGACAAAGTTCAGAATAATAAAATAAATGCAAAACAAGAATATACATTAAAACAATTGAATTCATAAAATGTTGTTTAAAAACTAATTTCATTGCACAGTCCAAATTGTCCGGTCATATATTCCCGCGGCCTCTGAAGACACGACCCGGGTCTTAATGTTCATCTAAAATTATGGTTCCGAAAGTTTCTTCTGTGGTTGTGGCGTCCTCTGTAACGATAGTTTTGGTTTGAATAGTTATCTTCTCTTGTATTTTTCCGAAAATTGTCCAATTCGTCTCTAGCTTAGTGATTCGATCCCGCATATGTTCTTTGTCGCATTGTAATTGGTATTGCTGGTCAATTGCTTCACATCTTTGATCGTAAATCCGAAAATTAGCTTCTTCAAGATCAGTAATGCGTTCCCGTAATTTTTCCATATCTTTTTTATCATCTGTACCTTGTTTTTGAAGTTTTTCTAGATTGCTTACAACACTGGTATGCTTTTGATTTAACTCTTTAAAATTCTTCTCATAGTGTACACTTTTGATTTTAAATTTTACTCTCTCTGAATTCACTCGGTCGTGCCTGAGTCTTACGTTATCTATGAATTCCTTGTTATATTCTAAGGTTGGAAAGAAGTCCATCAGTTCTATGGTATTAAGTTCCGCACAAGGAAAAATTGACATAGCTTTCTGTTCTTTAAATTTTCTCATTCTTTCTGCGTCACGACGTAACTTGGATTTCGATTTAACCTTAACAACTTTCACGTCCGGTTGTCTGTGAAAGTTACACATTCTGGCGAAATGTCCAAAATTTCTGCACTTATAGCAAAATGACGTTTTTGCTATTATACATTGTCTAAAATGAAATTGATTGTTCACAGTCTTTCCACAAAACTTACATAGGTAGTTGTCCATATGTTGAAAATTTCTTGTCTGAAAGGTAGTTCCATGATCAGACATCTGGTATCTCCAGTCTCGGCCAAAATTTCTGGTTCTCCGCGTATCCATTTTTCTGTTAGCTGGGGGGTCAGCTTCTAAAGTAGAACAAGGTACCCGCTAGATGCGTTGCCCGGATGTCCTAACACCAGATATAGCCGGGTAAAATGGCGTTCCGGCTAAATGGAAATCAAGAAGGAATATTTCGCTCCTTAAACTTTTATTTTAGCAGTCCGGCAAGACCGAACAACAAACTCCAAACTAAATGTAACGTAACATACAAACAATAACAGTATATATAAGCACAAGCAATTAAAGGATTAAGAAGATTAACATATGCCAAATAGAAATAACAATAGATTAGAAGAGTAATTAATGTCCGACACGTATAAGTAAATTATTGTCTAAACTGTTACAGAGAATAAATAATTAAATGAATAGAGTAAATGAATTTAAGTCCTTTGTCCAAGATTATGACACATAATCCGTGTAAAACACTTATGCCTAAATTTACGACAAAGTTCAGAATAATAAAATAAATGCAAAACAAGAATATACATTAAAACAATTGAATTCATAAAATGTTGTTTAAAAACTAATTTCATTGCACAGTCCAAATTGTCCGGTCATAATATGTACACCCTATTTAGAATTGAGAATGGAAACGGGGAACGTGTCAAAGAAAAAACAACAATCCGATCAAAGAGTAGAAGACAGCCCAAGGCCGCAATAGGTCTTCAAGTTCAAGGCAGCGAGAAAATCCCGCACCCGGAGGCGGGTTTCAGCTGGCCCTTAAACAATAATGTATACTAGTTCAGCGATATGAACGCCACACTAAACGCCTAAACATATAGATGAACCAAAATTTAAAAAACACACAAGACTAACAGAGAATACAGGTTCCTGACATGAGACAGGCGCAAAAAAGCAACAAACATGTTTTGTGAGATCTCAACCTTTCCCTATACCTCTCTATACCTCTAGCTAACGTGGAATGAACAAACACACATCAATACGCATAGTATTTGTTTGTTTTGAATAAAAATAAAATTTCATTTTTTACCCCCATAAAAATACCAAGCCCCATTTATCCCTGATACTCCCAAAAAGAGACCCTTTTAGACACTAAAATACTAAAGAAGTTACTGTTTTATGTAACGTTATACTTTTAACAATTCTCTTGTACATTGTATATATACTGATTCTCAAATTTCACAAAAACCTTTAAAACATTTTGTACTATTACTAATCCTTAAATTTCCTCTAAAACTATGAAATATTTTCTCATATATATATATACTGATCCTCAAATTCCCCAAAACTGATGGAGGATGAGGATACATCTGCATATTCCTCTTGAATAAAATTCGGTTTTCGTGGTCTTTTGCACTGAAGCATCATATTCTTGTTTCTCTTAAATTTCCCACGTTGTCAACTTAATCAGGATCAATATTTAAGCAGACTATGTAAGAAAAAATTATGTTATCTCAAAACGTACGAGAGATTTTTATTTGGCAATGACTTAACCACAAAAAGAAAACAGTGACGGGACAGGACGAAAAGTTAGTAATTTTGCTTAGAATAAGACCGCTTTAATGGTATTCTTAAACGATGTTAAGAGAAAGAAAAAGGAGAGGAAAGAATGGTTCTGGTTGCACTCTTAAAAGATTCATTCTTAGCGCTCTTTTGTGCTATCGTAAAATATGAATAACGAGAACTTTACTGTAAGGATGTACACCTCTGAGGAGCCAAACATTTCTGGAATTAAACCTTTTTCTTACCCTGATTTTTGGGTTTATATGACTTTAAGGAAGTAATTCATGAAGGAAAAATATGGTCGGTGGTGCACTCATTTTTTTGGTACAGCCATTTGAAAGTACCAATATTTTATGATTTTCCCACTTTTCATAAATTTTTACCCATTTTTGAGCTATTATCATGAAAAAAATCACAATTTTACAATCAAACTTTTTTTCATACATTCACTAAAGATGAAGTAGACCAATATGAATAAATATAACTAAAAAATATAGGTTGATGTTAACGTTATAAAGTTTTATGAAATTGTGTTGCTTTTTTCGTGTCAATTTGACCATGCTGTCAATTTTGAAAATTTGGGATTTTTCTCTTTTTTTTTAGAACAAAAAGCATGTTATTTCAACTTCTTTAATATAAATGATTGAAAAAATACATATCTAAGAATTTTGAAAAAAAAAATTGATATGGGATGTACATATTTTTAGTATAATCATTTCTTTGTACCCTCACCTACTTTCTCAACATTTTGGCTGATGAAACTTAATTACCAGATTGGTTACAAAATTTGAAAGTTTTATCACTCAAAAACTACTTATAGTAAGTACACAATTTTTTCACAGAGTTTAGTTTGATTATAATATTTTTATATTCATTGATATTTTCCACTTGTATCACTTGTTTTGGAAATAATTCCCAAACGAGATTTCAACGAGACTGAAACCTCAGAAGAATACATTCTTAATTAAGAGAAGCTTCTTGTTACTGGCCCCAGAAGGATAACTTTACACTGTAGTAAATTATAATGATTAGCTATCGTAAATGCAAATATAATGCAAGGCAAACATACGCATGCACAACACAAACAATATTGAAATAGTTGTTGTGAACTACATCCACTTTGTTTGAACTTTTGTGGATATTTGTCTCATTGTCAATCATACCTCATCTCTTTATTTGTATATTCATCAAATATTCATTAGAAACTGGTCCAACATTAAGCGCGTACTTCCTGTATCACAGTAGAGGAGGATTGCTATTGTGTATGAAAAGTTTGTTCTCATATACCATTTGCTGCATTTATTACTCTATGTGCAAAAACAAATGCTTCTGAAAAAATATAGAATTTAGAGCCTTATTGTTCTACCGTGCAAGGCACAAGATTTATGTATTAGAAACATCTTATTGTATTACTAATCTTCTTGATACCTGAATTTGCTGTCACTGTGAAGGTATATATTCTTAGCAAAATTTCCTGGAATTCGTCCGTGTTATCAATATTTGTGTAGCCCACCTGAAATAGATATAATCAATAAAATGATATAATTCAGAAAGCCTTTTTTAGCGGAAAATGCAAATCATTAAAAGAAGCATCTTCTGTATTAAAGTATCTAGCATGTAAGCTATTTAATTTATCCTTAAGTACGTCTACTTTTCCAGATAAATGGAAACGAGCAAATGTTACCCCAGTTTATAAAAACAGTAAACCGAATGACGTGAAAAACTATAGACCTTTTTCTTTATTGAGTGTAGTATCAAAATTGTATGCAGCGGCGGATCCATGCGGGGGTTCCGGGGGTTGGAACCCCCCCCCCCTTTTTTTTTGGGACGATCAATGCATTTGAATGGGGACATATAGTTGGAACACCCCCCCCCCCTTTCCCGCTTTATCCTGGGTTAGGAACCCCCCTTTTATAAATGGCTGGATCCGCCCCTAGTATGGAACGATGTATGTATAAAGACTTTTACAATCATTTAAAGAGTAATAACATTTTAACCGAAATCAAAGAAATAACATTACACAACTCAACACACGGACCCGTTTATATTTTGAATATTTTATCCCAGCAAAAACAAGACTATGGAACACACTTAACTTAAACACAATAAAAAGGGAATCTCTACCATTATCAAAACAAGTTGCTTTCTTTAAAAAAAGAAAAGCAATACGTGAACCCGAGACAGCTGACTGGTCACCAAAAGAATGTTGCTGAATTGTTTTGGCTTTAGATTTGAAATAATTGACTGAATAGAATAAGGTACTGATGATTTTAAAACACCTTTATTGAATATATGTAATTGTGTGCAGATTCTTACACTAGTCAATTAAAAGCACTGTTGGATTTTAGTTTTAAATAGAAAAGTGTATACAGCTTCTATATGAATTGACCTTTTAAGGCTTGACTATTTTATTTATTAATTGGGAGTGTAAATCAGTTTTTCTACGTGTTTGATATACATACAAAGTTCTAATCCTATTGCAGTTCTTAGTTTCTGCAAACCGTATGTCGAAAGCAAATTGCACAGACCAATCGCAATATGAATTTAATCACTCAGTTTGCTAAAATAATTCGGATGCATTTATTCCATCTGTCATATCTTCATATTTTGTTTCCTTGATGGCTTCAATTATTCTTATACTCCTTATTGAAGCTGCCGTCTGCACTCATGGTAGATATATAGAGAAATTATTTTGGTCTTTTAAAACATCTCAAATTTTAAAGATTTCTTTAAGGTACTTTAATCAATTCAAATGTTCTATACGAAAAACTTTGTCCTTAAGAAGGTTTATGAATACCTGAATATGCTCTCAAAAGAACCAATTAATATATAAAAAATAGATATGTACCCTATGTAGATATATAAAAATGTATAGATACCAGGATAAAATGTTGTACGCCAGACGCGCATATCGTCTACAAAAGACTCATCAGTGACGCTCGAATAAAAAATGTTAAAAAGGCCAAATAAAGTACGAAGTTGAAAGCATTGAAGACCCAAAATTACGAAACAAAGGTTTTGCCAATTACATCTAAATCTATTTATTCCTTGGGAAGAAAATCCTTTGTATTTCGAAAATTTCAAAGTTGATAAATTAGGACAGTCACTAAAAAAAAAACGAAAAAGAAAAAGAAAAAGAAAAGACAAACAACTAGAGGTCAGAATACCTTAATTATGATGACCATGATTCAACGTCACATGTCCAGCTCTTACTGTCGTGTCCTGAATTTGCAAAGGAAGAAAGGCAAAAATTTACAGCCCGTGAGTGAAATTAATATTTATGCACGTACGTGGTTTTCTTGAGCAGCGCAAGAAATAGTAAATGGAAAGCATGCGCACTGATACTCTGGATTATAATACGCATTTGCGTCATCACGTATATTTATTCTAGGCTCAAATCTAAAGCTAGTTGAATTCGGATATCAAACTACCTACCTCAAGTGTTTTGACTCCGGATTCATGGCCGTTTAATCCGAAATTTGTCTTAAACCTTAACCGATGTTGTGTCGTGTGAACAGGGTGTAATATAATGTAAATAAATAAACCAAGACGGGTGTATGATAGCTGGTCAACACAATGAATAAACAATTTTCAAAATCGCACCATATTGAAAAGATTAAGATGCTATAAGGTTAAACTATTGAAAACAAAACAAAAAAAAATGAATTTTAATCAGCATATAATCCTGTTAAAGAATCAAGAAAACTTTAAAAATATAATATCAATAAAAACAAACATTTTATTCATAAAATCAATCTCTTCTTCAAGTCTATATTTCTAGTATATGAATATATTGCTATACAAAATATAAGCAGAGACTTATAAAACCATACTAAAACGAAATTAAATAATTAACCAGAGACATATATACACATGTGTATATACATGTATGTCTCTGAATTAACGTAGTAATTAAATGATTATTGTAAAATATTAAATACGTTTTCTTTTGTGAGATTTAAGGATTTAAAATCGTTGTGAAGTATTTTTTTCATTCACTACAGTTTAAATTTAACTAACTTTTGTGTAGGCATTCCTGATAATTGGTGCTCATATGCTGCATACAATTTTCATAAATGTATTCACTGTTCAGACATGTCGGACATGATATAACATTACACATGATACTCTATTAATGACAAATTTAGTCTCAGTTTAAACTTAATAAACTTGGTCTGTTAGTGTATCTTAATGAAATTAAATATTTTGACAGAAATATTGTTTTGTTGATTATAATTATGCTTTCCGACCTAAGATAAATATTTATAACAGAAATATCGTTTTGTTAATTTTCTTCAGGCGTGCTTTCCGACATTTGCCCAGGCTGTGATTAAAGTACATACGGTCACGTGGTAACCGTTAAGAAATATTCTCAGTTTATTCTCAGACATAATATATTAGTATATATACTATTCCCAGGTTTTTATTGTCACAATGCACAATACGCTATAGCCTTTTGTATAAAAATACTTTACACACAACGCGTACAGGGACCGTCTCAAAGCATGAATCATATAATTGTGTTATCAATATACTTGATATTTAATAAACATTCTGATTATTTCGCGTTATTAAAAACGCACATGTTCTGCCAAAAGGCAAATAGGTGCCAATATTTAAATGATTTTTTACTGCAATCTAGTCTTTATTTTTTCTAATATTCCGATCTACAAATGAACTTTGATTGTTGAACTATACAATGTCACGTGGTAGCCTATCCGTAGAGGGACCGTATCAAAGACAAAAACAACTACCTGTATAAATGATCGAAACTTTTCGAGACGTTCGAGAATCTTGTTTTCGAGGATTTCGAATGGCCCATAGAAGCTTCCAAAACTCACCAATATATAGACGTGAACCCCTTGGGCAAATAAAAACAAATTCGTACCCAAAATAGTAAGGTCCCAATGTATTACTATGTAGGATATCGTCTTGGTCAAATTCTTCATGCTCGCTTAAGAATGGATTCAAGTTTATTGAATTTTCACCTATTCCTTCGTAATTTAGTAGACTCCCCGAACTGTCGTTGTGGTGATGTAGAAACAAATTCTCACTTCCTGTTATTTTGTCCCATAAACACCGATTTAAGACATGAACTATTATCTTCTGTTTCAGTTCTTCCTGTCCAAGTTGACACAAAATTTTGCTTTTTGGATCAACGGTACTCTCAGATGAGCAAAATAGTCATTTATTTAGTTTTGTGCAGAAATACATTATCAAAAGCAAACGTTTTATTTAACCCTTGATGTTACTGCTTCATCATTTAATAAGAACCCAATCATTTCACACTGTATACATTACAAAAATGCATGTTTTGTTTTTTTTTTTTTCTCTATTGTATTTTTCACTTTTTTCATATTTATATATTTATTACAGAGCATGCCAGTATTTATATTTATGTATCATTGTTCAATAAGTGTATTATTTGTGTAATAGGATTTGTAAAAGCAAATTTGCTTGTTTTTGAATCCTAAATATTCATTTCAATTATATTATATCGTTATGTGATGATTTATGTGAATTAATATTGTTTAAACTAATTTTACTACACCAGATGTGCACACAATGTGAAAAAAAGGAATTTAGGTAAATTTTAATATGGAAAAAATACGTAATTTTCAATTTAATTCCTTATCTATAATATGATTATTGCAATTCGCCGGCAAGGAAATTATTTATCTGTTGTCGACATATTTCGACAATTTAAGTGGCGTCTTCAAAACAATATAAAGACACTGAGAAGAACATAAAATGAGGTTCATGTAGGTTTACAGAAAAGTTAAAAGAAAGTTACGTCATTTATAAATTTACTTTCACTTTCACTTTCTTTTTAAGGTAAACGAACAGTAAATGGGCTATGTCACAGATTTTTGTAAAATTTTGCATATATCTTTGGCTCGTTGAACTGTAACTGAAAATTAAAAAAATAATGCATTTGTCTTTTTTTCTCTCTGAAATATTAATGATTAAACTCTTTCAAAAAAGGTGAACATTTGTATAGAATGCACATACAATCGGCGAAAAAGGCTCTTAAATTTGTCTTAAATGAATCAAATGTCCAGTTTCAAATCCATAGATTTCAAAAATTTCGACCGAATTTAATCATTTTACTTTTTCAAAAATCTTCTTCTCTGAAACTACTGGGCCAAACTTTAACTGAATGTTCCTTAGGGTATCTAGTTTGTAAATTGTATATGAAGTTTTATTCCATCAACAAACATGGCCACCATGGCTAAAAAAGAACATGGGGACAAAAGCAGTTTTTGGCTTATATCACAAAAACTAAAGCAGGTAGAGCAAAAAGGAAAGGGTGTTAAAGTGATAAATGGGCCATGATCTATCTGTTATGACATTTTCAGACAAGTTCGACAACCCATTGTTGGGTTACTGTTGGAAATAGTTTATTTTTTAGCAAATTTTACTGTTTTTGGTTATTTTTTTAATATTATAATAGATAGAAAGAAAGTATAAATGGCAATAAATGTTCAGCTAAGTAAGATCTTCAAATAAGTCAACATGATCAAAATAGCCAATTGACCCCTTAAGGAGTTATTGCACTTAAAACTTTTTTTTTTACATTTTTTGTGAAAGTCTAATTACTTTTTCAAAAATCTTCTTCTCTAAAACTACTTGGCCAAATACTTAAAAACTTTAATGGAATGTTCCTTATGATATCTAGTTTATAGATTGTGTATTCGGGGATTTGATCCATTCAAAAACATGGCGGCAGTTTCTGAAAATAAAACATAGGGGTCAAATAACCAAAAACTAAAGCAGTAAGAGCAAAACTGACATAAGTGAAAGTGTTAAACCGGTTTAGATCTACCCGTCAAGTAATCTTCAGACCAATAGGACAACTTATTGTTGGGTTACTGTCCATAAATAGTTAATTTTTAGGAAATTTTACATTTTTGGGTTATGTATTGGCTTTAATATTATTATAGAAAGAGAGAAAGTGTAAATGACAAAATTGTTCAGCAAAGTGAGATTTGCAAATAAGTCAAATGCCTGAAACTGAAAATACAGGCGAGTGATATCAGGCTCTCATGAGCCTCTCGTTTTAAATGACATTTGGCTTGATTATTTATGACGATTATTTGTACTATTTTTTATAAAGAAATCATCGATTTTTTTTAAATGGATTATAACTGCATAAAATGCCGTTTTTTTCGAAAATCATGAAAAAAAATGAAAGTGAATTATTTTCTGAGAATTGTAACATAAACTTAGAGTTTACTTATGTAAAGACGATATTCCAAATATTTTTACAAAAACCCTCTTGTGATTATCTTTAAAACAAAAACGTTAGGTATGTCTGTTCAAAGGATAGAAATGTCAAAGAAACTTTAATTTTGAGTAAATGTCTAAAATTTCGACCCCATTTATCTCTGATAGTAGCACATGAAGGTATATTTTTCATTACGCATTTGAATTGACTAGATAAAAAATTGCTTGTGTGCAAATTTTCGTCAAAAAATCACCATTGGATCAAAACTGTATCGTTTGCCCTCAACGTCATCATATATACCAATATTTGGGACGAAACATTTAGACTACAATAAAACAATGTCCTTTTCTTAATCAGGATGTTGCTGTCTTTAATTTGGATAAATTATGATTTTAGACAATCATATCATACTTCGGTATCAATCCTGATTACTCTACCAGCTTGTACCGCCATAAGTCGTTTGTTTACTCCTGGACTTATCTATATATTTACATATTTCAGTTCAAATTGTAAGCAGCAGTTTAAACACATCACTTACAGAAAATCTTATAAATATATTAGTCATGGTGTCTGTATGGAACACTTTGGGCGTTAAATTTGACATAGGCCACTTGATTACAGGAATGGGTTATTTTAAGATGTAGCATGAAAATACATTTGCCTGAGGTCGTAACTAAATACTGTAACGGGGGATATTTCATAACTAAGAAATGAAATCATTTTCCATATGTCCTTTATTTATAGTCTCTGGGCTTTCATTTCAATTTTAACGTATGCACATAGGTAGTCCCTTTTTGCGTGAACCCCTTATATATGGTGAGTTTTGGTATCGTCTATGGGCCATTCGGAAATCTTCGGAAACAAGATTCTCGGAACATCTCGAAAATTTCGATCATTTATACAGGTAGTTATACCTCTATATCTTTGATACGGTCCCTCTATGAATAGGCTACCATGTGACATTGGGACGGTCCATGTACGTGTTTTGTGTGTACATGTTTTAGCATTTAATACAGCGTGCTGTTACGCATTGTGATAATAAACCTGGGAATGGTTTATTAATATACAATGTCTTAGAATAAAATAATTACTACGTTAATTATTTTATACTATTTTAGTATGGTTTTATAAGTCTCTGCTTATATTTGTATAGCAATATATTCATATAGTGGAAAGTAAGACTTAAAAGAGAGATTGATTTGATAAATAAAATGTCCATCAGTAAATAATTTGTGTTTATTGATATTATATTCTTAATTTTCGGAAAAGATTCATGAACAGGAATGTATATTTAATTTCATTTTCTTAGTATTTTTTGTTTTGTTTTTAATAGTTTAACCTTATAGCATCTAAATCTTTGCAATATGATACGATTTTGAAAATTGTATTCATTGTGTTGACCAGCTATCTTTCACACGTCTTGATGCAATGACATTATATATCAACCTGTGCACACGACATACTTTCGGTTTGCGTTTACCAAAATTCCGAATTAAAGGGCAATGAATCCGGAGTCAAAAAACTTGAGGTAGGTAGTTTGACATCCGAATTCAACTATGAAACATTATATTTGAGCCTAGATTAATATATGTGATGACGCAAATGAGTATCAGTGCGTATGCTTTCTATTTAATATTTCTTGCGCAAGAAAACCACGTGCATGCAGCATAAATATTAATTTCACTCGCGAATTAAATTTTTTTGCATTTCTTATCTAAATTCAGGACACGGTAGTAAGAGCTTGACATGTGACTTTCAAGCATGGTCGTCATTACTTAAAGTATTCTGACCTCTGGCTGCTTCTCTTTTCTTTTTTTTTTTTCTTTTTTTGGAGTGACTGTCCTTTTATAAACTTTGACATTTTCGAAATGCTAAAGATTTTCTACCCCAAAAATAGATAACCGTAGATGTATTCGACAAAACTTTGGGTCTTCAATGCCTTTCAACCAACTGATGAGTCTTTTGTAGACTAAACTCGCGTCTGGCGTACAACATTTTAATTCTGGTATCTTTATATATCTACATATCTTTTTATATAAATTGGTTGAGAGTATGTTCAGATATTCATAAAACTTCTGAAAAAATGATTTTCTTCAAAACCAAGTTTTCCTTGTAGAAGATTTGAATTGATTTAAGTTACTTCAAGAAATCCTTAAAATTTGAAATGTTTTATGATACCAAAATAATTGTCAGTATATAAGAGGTCCCAATGAAGCTGGTGTGCTACCCTCAAGAAAATATACGAAACCTTCTAATAGGTTGCATGCCACAGGGTTTCACTTCACATGGAAATTGGACTTTAAATTTATCTATCATTTACCATGAGTACAGACATCTTTAATAACGAGTATAAGAATAACTGAGGGCATCCAGGAAACAAAATATGAAAATTTGAGAGATAAAATAAATGCATCCAGATTATGAGTGCTTAAATTTATATTGCGATTGGTTTGTGCAATTTGCATTAGACATCCGGTTTGCAAAAACTGGGATTTGCAATATGATTAAGAAAAAATTATATACACTCCCAAGAAATAAATAAAATAGTCAAGCCTTAAAAGGTAAATTCAAATATTAGCTGTATATATATACACTTTTCTATTCAACTAAAATCCAACATTGCTTTCAATTGACTTGTGCAAGAATCTACACACAATTACATATATTCAATAAAAGTGTTTTAACATCATCATTACCTTATTCTATTCACAGTCAATTATTTCATATCAAAAAAAAATCAGCAACAATGTGTTGATGACCAGTCAGCGGGCTTAGGTTCACGTATTGCTTTTCTTTTTTAAAGAAAGCACATTGACTATAATATTGAACTTGATGGAAACAGTGTATTTAAATATGCAATATATAAAATTGAAAGAACGTCATTCTTTGATTTACTTTATGGCAGAATGGCTATGATCTTAAAGTCACTAAGTCTTAAAGAATGTTAACACAGGCACGTGAACTTAGACATAAATAAATTTACCTTTGCATCTACACGGAATCGGCCAAGATCCTTTAAATTGGAATCCAAATGAAATTTATATTCATATTCACTTCCAAATTTGAAATTAACATATTCACTGAAAGCTGTTAGAACAAACAGTGAATGAATCAAGATGTATCTAAACAGAATCCACTCCATATTGTCACACAGTACTTTCACATAGCTTATATATTATTTCGTATCTTAATTTATGTTCACATCATGAATAACTGCATGTATTTAACAATCTTGACAAATTAATAATCTCCAAACTAATGCAAAAACTTGTATTAAATCCAAAGTTTGCTTTCTCTGTTAATTGCTGTTATTTATATATTGCTTAAACGTTTCACATCCTATGTGTACCTATCTATAAATAAAAAATAGAAAACTGATAAGAATGACCTTGCCATGTGATTAAAGTAGGTTGATGGATGCCAAACTTTCAGCTGGATTACTACGACAATGAAGGTTTTGTCGCCTCTTCACTAATAAAACAATGTAATAAAACATTAAAACTATTATTACACTACATCACTAATTAAATGTTCAAAATGTAGTCTCTTTGATGTCTATACATTTTTGTCTCGTTTCGACAAAGTCGAAAGAGCGAGACTTAGGCCGTCTGTTTTCAGCAGCGGCGGCGGCGTCGGAGGTGTCGTCAACAATGTATAAGTTTGTGATAAGGTCAGTTTTGTGGGAAGCACTTGTAGTAAATCAGTGTTATTTTGTATGCAGTTGTATTAGCATTGGCACATCTCATTTTTTTAAATTATTATGGCCCCGCCACCTCAGTCATGGTATATTGAATTGAAAACTTTTGCCTAGTTACCATGTATTAGTTGATGATTATGCCAGTTTATGGAACCACTAATGGTAGGTCAATGGTATTTGGTATGCAGTTGTATTAGCAGTGGAATATCTCGTTTCCATTAAGATTATTTGGACCTGCCTCCTTAGTCATGGTCTATTGACTTTGAAACTTTTGCTAAGGTTACATTATTAGTTTGTGCTAAGGTTAGTTTTATTTTAGGGGGTGGGGTAGGGAATTAGCGGTTGGTCAATGATATTTGGAATACAGATGTATTAGTATATGGCACATCTCAATTCCATTTTAATTATTTGGCTCCACTCTCTCAGTCATGGTCTACTGACTTTAAATATTTTGCATAGTATACATGTTATTGTTTGTAATTAGATCAGTTTAAGAAAAAACGTTAATGTTAAGCAATGATATTTGACAGCAATGCAGTTGTATAACTTATAAGCCAGAGAGTTTTCTTACTTTTGAACATTTTTCTTCATAACACCGGACATCGTTAAAAGAAAAAGTTGGGTGTAAAACTATATAAATAAAATACGTGCGTGGATAAAACGATTTTTAAGTATCCACTTCAAAATAATTATTTCTGTCGAAGTTTTAAAACAATCCTTAGGGTGACATGTGACGCCATTTAACCACACAATTTTGTTTAGAATATAGCAAAGTGCTCTCGACCAATGAAATTGTAGGAGCTGATGCCTCTTAGTTGTGAAGAATGAATGCAAATCATGTTCTTAGTAAGGGATTATCCTATTATTTGGGTCTATTTACAGTTCAAAACAAAGAGTTTCTATAAATGAGTTACAACTGCCCCGAAGCACATTTATCAGATTGAAAGGATTTATCACACAGTGATTGAAACTTACTAAAAGTTGAACTGTAAAACAAAGAAAAAATTCAAAATAAATTGAAGTTTACTGTGCAGTAAAATTGGTACCGTGAATGTTATTATGAAAATATTCTTCAAATTACTAAATAATTAAACAATATCAAAGCATTTGCAAAAAAAGAAAAAAAAAGCTTTGAAATAAAAAAAAACAATTTAATATTTAGCTTTCAAAAACTTTGATCACTGGATCAGCTGTTTGGAAGAATAGTTATTTCCAATATTCCGATAAAATAAAAAAAAATAAAAAAAACAGGAATTCAATTTAAGTTTTGAACATATTAAAAACTTTTAAAGGCATTTTATTTGAAAATTTCCCTGACATAATGAAATAGTATTTGATGTAAAAAGCCAGACCAAAATATTGGCTGTTAAATAAAATTTAGTTGTAACTCAAATGTATCATTTGATTTAAACTGTAAATTAAAAAAAAAGGAGAATTCCTCACTAAAACATTACATGATATACATTCATACTCACAATCAGGAAACATATACAATTCTTACATTTTCTTTGTTCTGTTGTGTCACCTAATATCTATAAAGCATATTTTTAAAAATATTTCCCAAATGATAAGAAAGTCCTTCCATCACTAAAACTTATCCATAAATGAAATGCCTAAAAAGGAAGTCGTGCATTAATTAAAAAAACATTGCACTGACAATGAAACTAATTCTTAAATACAACCAATTTAGAATATAGCAAAGTACTCTCGACCAATGAAATTGTAGGATTGGATGCCTCTTAATTGTGAAGAATGAATGTAAAGCATGTTCTTAGTAAGGGATTATCCTATTATTTGGGTCTATTTACAGTTCAAAACAAAGAGTTTCTATAAATGAGTTACAACTGCCCTGAAGCACATTTATCAGATTGAAAGAATTTATCACAGAGTGATTGAAACTGACTAAAAGTTGAATTGTGAAACAAACAAAAATCTCAAAATAAGTTTAAGTTCACTGGTGCAGTAAAATTGGTACTGTGAATGTTATTATGAAAATATTAATAACTTCAAATTACTATAAAATTAAACAATACCAAAGCAATGCAAAAAAAAAGGAAAAAAATCTTTCAGATAAAAAATAACCTAAATCTTTAGCTTTCAAAAACTTTGATTACTTGATCAGCGGTTGGGGAGAATAGTTATTTCCAATACATGTATTCCGATAAAAAAAAACAGGAATTTAGTTTTGAACATATTAAAAACTCTTTTAAGGGCATTATTTTTGAACATTTCCCTGACATAATGAAACAGTATTTGATGTAAAAAGCCGGACCAAATTATTGGCTGTGAAATAAAATTTAGTTGTTACTCAAATGTATTAATTGATTTAAACTGTAAATAAAAAAAGGATAATTCCTCACTAAAATATTACATGATTTACATTCATACTCACAATCAGGAAACATACAATTCCTACCTTTTCTTTCTACAGTTGTGTCACCTAATATCTATAACGCATTTTTTTTTTAAATATTTCCCAAATGATAAGAAAGTCCTCACATCACTAAAACTAATCCATAAATGACATGCCGAAAAAGGAAGTCATGCATCAATTATAAACATTGCACTGACAATGAAACTAATTGATAGATCATTTGAGCCTTGAGCACTTTACAATATTCTAAGTTTGTAAGAGAATGATAATCCCTTACTTCATGATAAGTACTCGCTAACGCTCGTACTTATTCATGAAGAAAGGGATTATCATTCTCTTACATATACTAAATCTAACAATCAACATCTTTTTGTATTAATTAGTCCATTGTTGACGATAGCTATAGAGTGCAATCAGCTGATTATTGATAACTATTAAAATCGTAACGCGTGATGAGTTTAAGGCGAAATTTCAGTATTGTCTGATTTTTCGATAAATCTTTCGCCTATAATGAATTTAAATCTCCACACTTTTTATTTTCTCGCAAAATTGCGAAAATGTCGATCGCCAGCGGAAACCCTGAAACAGTATAAGCATTTGAAAGTCTCATTTCCATAGAGATCATATGACCCTGCCTTATCATCATGGTTCATTAACTTTTAAAGCTTTGCATAGTTTACAAGTTAGTTTGTGTTAAGGTTAGTTTAGATTAGTTTATAGGAAAACACCAATGCTAAATCAATGGTATTTGGTATGCAGTTTTATAAGTATTGACATTTCTCATTTCCATGGAGGTTATTTGACCCTGCACATTCAGTCATGGTTCATGGTTCATTGATTTTAAATGTTTTGCATAGTTTGCATGTTTAAATAATGCCGTTATAACAATCGGCATTTTACTATAAAAATTACAAAAAGCCAGACACATGTCGGTGTCAACAGTTTATGAATGTTACAAATTCATATTTTTTACTGTTTGGTCGTACTTGTGTTGCTCAGCCTATAGTTTTCTATGTAGGGTTTCATAGACTGGTTTGTCTCAATATCGTATTTCGTGGATTACCTTGGTGTCGTAGGTTTCTCTTCAACTTATGAACTTTTATTTGCACTTTGGTACCTTCCGCCACATTTGTTTAAACCATATTTACGTATTCTTATATCCAACTCCGTCGGTCCATCTCTAACACAAATACTGTATAACAGTATTAGAATACAGAGTGTTTAGAATATCAAAACTTCTTGTACCATGCTTCTTTTTTATGAGAGATAAAATAATTTGAGGCAATTATCTTTTACATATAAATAGTAATTTTGTCTACAATTTTGAATAGAAATATATTTCAATGTGAAGATCAAAAGTATACATTAAATCGAGGGTATATAAAGATAAGAAGATTTGGTATGATTGTCTATGAGACAACTCTCCACTAGAGACCAAATGCCATAGAAGTTAACAAATATAGGTCACCGTACGGCCTTCAACACTGAGTAAAACCCATACTGCATAGTCAGCTATAAAAGGCATCAACATGACAAATGTAAAACAATTCAAACGAGGCAACTATCGGCCTGATTTATCTACAAAACAATGATCGAAAAACAAATATGATATACAGCAACAATCGACAACCACTGAATTGCAGGCTTCTGACTTGGGACATGCACATACAGAATGTGGCGGGGTCAAACATGTTTTCGGGCTCCTAACCCTCCCCGAACCTGGGACAGTGATATAACAGCACAACATATGAAAAAACTATAACAATCAGTTGAAAATGGCTTAACTCGTCAGATCGATACAAAAGCAGAAAAAACTAGTAAGAAAAACACAGACCGGACGTGGCAGGGTATTTATACATCCCCACAACAAAAAAGACACTAAGTACAAATCTGAGAGTACTTTCAGTTACTGACAGCTATTTCAAAGCCAATAACTACTTATAAAAAAGATCATGTTTCTAAGACTAAATATCATTCAGTACACATTCAACATCCAATGGATTTAGTGTAAAGACGTCATTAACAGTCAGAGAAAAATATGACCTTGTGTAAAACAAAATATTTGTTAAAATACGGTTATCACTTTTTATTTATTCAGAAAGAAAATCATGATACACCAAATTTAACATTTAGACTACTTTAAGAATTAACAAACATGACAAATGTGTGTAAGAATGTAATAAACTTATGCACACACAAAGGGCGTACGATACAGTTTTGATCCCACGGTGTTTTTTTACGAATATTTGCATACAACGTATTTTTCACCTCGTTAATTTAAATATGTAATAAAAAATATACCTTCATGTGCTCCTTTTAGAGATAAATGGGGTCGAAATTTTAGACATATACTAAAAATTTGGGTTTCTTGGAAATTTCTATCCTCCAGAAGGACATACCTAACTTTTTTTGTTTCAAAAGAAAAACACAAGCGGATTTTTGTAAAAACTTTGGAATATCTTCTTTACAGAAGCATGCTTATAAATTTGTGTAACAATTTTTGGAAATTATTCATTTCTGTTAAATTTTCAAGATTTTAGAAAACTTATGAAAGTGTTTATACTTTGGTGCCTATTATCCAAACAATATGACTACCCGCTGCCGAATCTTTATACCTTAAACCCATTAGGGAGTCTAGTTGATTTCTCTCTATCTGCTATAATTTTTGCCCAAAGCCAAAAATACAAACAAATGTGTAAAATCATTCATTCATGGTCATTTTTTGCCGTTTATTTATCTTATTTAAAAAGAAATCATCGGTGATTTGTTCATAAAAATTTGTACAAATAATCTTCCCTCATTATACAGTCAAATGTCATTTTAAAAAAAGTGGGGTCTATGTACTCGTTTTTCAAGCGAATGATTAAACTCAGTCGAAAAATGCATCTTTTCCCGATATGTCACAGTTTGACGTCGCGGGAAATAGCATTTTACGTTAGCAACGTCATTACCTCCCCTGGAACTGTATCGTATGCCCTTAACATGGCGTCAGTACAAAAGAGCTAAAACGCGACGAACTTTTGAAGGATATTGCTGTTGATAATATAACAGGCGCATGAATGAAACTGAAAGCTGAAGAAACAAGTAGACGACTAAATGTAAGGAAACACTACACAATACGTTTCATTTAACTTGAACAAAATATACTATGACAGTTCTTCTTCTTCTTCCTGGTACGGGAAAGACTCCCGTCCGGTGCCGGAGTTTGGAATATCCCGGAAATTAATTATAAGTTTAAATTTAATTCGCTAAAAGTTTACAGGGAAAATAAAGTAAACAATTAAGAAGGGAATATAACAAGTTATTTAAATTTATCCAAAATTTATTTATATAAATAAATTATATGATATAAAAGGTGTGAAATTGGAAACGTGCCACTTGCATCACTTTGACTCATTTTCTTAGGAGGGTGCATTTCAGAAAATTGAAAAACCGAAAACATAGTTTGGCAAATATCCAGGTTACTTCCTAATAATTTAAATCAACACTTTAAAATGAACTGCAGAAATGCAGATAACTGATGAACGCCTTAGCATACTAAAATATAAAACTTTTAGTTACGTAATCTACCATATTAAATGGAATGGTGTATATAAAGTATATTATTAAACTTAACCTTGACCAAGATTATCAAAAGTTACTTACAAGAATTGTGTAATGATTTCATGGTTTGCAGACAGTATCCAAAACTAATCAAAGAATGCAGGTAAGACGAACTTTGGAATTAATGAACCCATTCATGCATGTTAAGTTTTAACACTAAAACATACTTTTATTAAACAATTTCATTATTTTATTTTTTAACAGCTTCTTTTAGGAAAATTACTCAAATGATATATAAAACGATTGCATGCATAAATATAACACTGTTTTGATTATACTTGACGTTTTCACAAATAAAAATTATACAACAAAAGCTTTAATATCATTCAAAGTATGTATTTTGAAAACTGTGTAGTGAACACAGATCAGAATTTATGGATAACTTGAAATGAGAGATAGTAAGTTTTTCAATATGCTTAGCTTAGTTTGCTGAATGCAATTGCTACTGGAAACATGTGAAAAGGATTGCTCTTGAGACTCTAGAGGATAACATATGAAGCATGTGCATGCTCCCTTTAAGTGTTTGTACTGTGGTGCCTATTATCCAAATAATATGACTACCCGCTGCCGAATTTTTATACCTTAAACCCATTAGGGAGTATAGTTGATTTCTCTCTATCTGCTATAGTTTAGCCCAAAACCAAAAATACATATACAAATGTGTAAAACTCTTCATTCATGGTCAATTATAACTTGAAAATAAAATGGACTTACATTTTTGGCCTTGTTGAACTATTTGTAGATCTTGTCTATCTGTATATTCCATAGTTTTTGTCCAAAACATAAAAAGGTAAAAATCGTCATTTCAGTGCAGTTCTCCTTAACGGAATCAACTGACAATGACAGCAATTTGGAATCTTGTGTAGATCTTGTATGACTCATTATTTTTGAAATTTTAAGTTTCTCATCATTTATTATTGTTTTCAAAATGATTCAGAAGACAAAAATCTAAAAACAAAAATTGGTAAAAATTGTAATGTAAGCCAATAACTCCTATAAGACAGTTTAGGTGTAGATCTAAACATTTTGAACATTTCTGCCCTGTCATTTTCTTTTCTTTCTATAGCGCTTTTCCAATATAAAAGACAATTTGAAAACTTGCATTTTACCTCTTTGTTATATTTTTACCCATGTCGGCCATGCTTGTTTAATATCATATAGTAATCGGTTTGTCCGTCCGTCCGTCAATATATCCGATACGAATGATGTCCGGATAATAACTTTAGTATATCATTGCTTGAATAGAACGAAAGTAGTATAAATGGAAGCTATATGTAAGAAGAAGAAGTCTTGTGAGTTTGGGGTCAACAGGTCAAAGGTTAAGGTTACTGTTCCAAAAAAGCGAAAACAAATGAAAAAAAAAACCGATTTCCTGACGGCAACCTGGCTTGATAGGAACGAAACTTATAAAGATACATCCTTTTTAAAGAACTTCAAAGCAATAATTGTAATCTAAACAAAACACAGACAAAAAATTACTCTTAAAAATTCACCAGAGCGCAGCACCCTCACTCCACCCCATCCCCTCTCCCTTTTCCCTTAATACGGTCTGGATATTTGAAATACCGAAATATTTCAAGTGATTATATGGTTTACAACGGAATCTATCTACAATCATATGTTAAAATGTGATATTTTCAGATCTATTTCTTTTAAGAAAGCCTTAAGGCATACAAAAGACATGATTCATTCAGCGGCTGTTAATACGTACATCAAACAATGATAACGATTGATTGACTATTGCTTTCTTAACAAAGAAAATATTAACAGGTATGGTGATATTAAAATTTATCTCTTGACAGATGACGTTTCTCTATTGCAGATTCTTTAGCATGCTGCAAACAGTCATCTGAATTACGAGTGATTATAACAGTACAATTGCTTATGAATACACGCGTCATGAGTTTGCTTCGATCTAGAGATGATCAATGTAAGAACTACTTTTTTTATTGGGAGAAATTCATTTCCTTTGATTCTTTCTCATGTGTATTAATGTTCATTAATTATAGTTTATGTTAGTGTTTATATCATTGCTGCTGTCATTTGATACAGTTATCTTTTCTTGTCTTAATTTATGATAGTTGCACGTGTTTTACCCAGTTATTTTCATAACTATACTTTAAATGATATTTTATGCGTGTCAATTCTCCAGGTCACCTCTTTTCAACAGCGTCCGTCGTGAAATATTTGGCAGTTTTAATTTGTACAGAGAATTCCAAGCGTATACATGTTTATTTTGTAGTAATGTTCCCACCGCCACCCCTTTCACCTCCGAGATAGTAATGTGAGCCTTGGCAACATGTTATGTAATATAAATGCATATGATAATGAATTTCACCCATTCTTTACTTGTCACAAAATTATTACCTGATTTATCAGGCAGTCCTGAATAAAACGGCTAACTAGACATTCCTTTTCTCGGGTGAATGAATAATTTGTTTATCCATTTGAAAGTTCTTTTTGGATACATGTTTAGCGTGCGAATGATTTTTTCACGCGAGGTTAGCTGTCTCAGGTTGCAAAGTGCGCACACTAAGCATGGACACCAGTGCTCAACACGCCGATAGATAAATAAATTTAAGAGTAGGTACTAGTATACTTAAGTTACCTATTATTTGACATTGGCTAGGCCAGCGCTCAACATATCAAGCATAGAACGGTATTTCGAAGTAATACAGACTGAGTGTTCTATGGCAAGCCGTTTTACTATTTTTTATAACTTTAAGATATCTTATAAATTGTATAAGATATTTGACCTTGAACGTTTCGCTCTTGCAGCTGATATTGTACCATCAACTTGCACAAAACGTGATAATTTGAATGATGACTAGGTGATGCGACAAAACAATAATTCTCGTGACTTTCAATTATAGCAGTTATAAGTTTTGATCCGAACAGACAAATTATATTTCTAATTCAAAATTGCAACTGATATTTTCAGGCGTTTTTACCATATACAGAGGTAGACATGAATGAGATGAGATGAGTGGTATATGTCAGTCAGACAACACTCAATGACATCAAACGACACAAACATCAAAATACATCTAGAGGTAAAAAAAGTTTCAGGAATATAAAATTCTATATACAATACATCAAGTTCTAAATAGCATGTGGGGCTAATACTCAAAATATATGTTCTTTAGCTTGAAGTTCTTTTGCATGTCAATTTTTTTTTTCTTGTCGGTTTTCTTTTTCTTCTGTTCATTTCTAAAACAACTACCGATTTTGATGATAATGTGGCAGTGTTGTGTACAGATAAGACAACTTGTTAAAGGAGATAAACCGTATCTCAAAGAAACGTATCTTTCATGGCCTCCAACAAAAATTTAAAACTCCATGAATAGTAAATACCGCAGTCAACTTGAGCTTTGTAAAACATCTTGAAGTTCCGTTACGGTTGTGAGAGCACTTATTAGAAACACACAAGAGTTGTATAATTATATATAATTATAGTGGATGCACATAATGAATGAAAAATTTGGGAAGCCAATGTATATGAGTAGGGATTCTTGTGATGTTCAATAGAAGCCATAAACAGTCGAATAATTGTTGAGATGTGTTCATCCGCGATGATATTTTTCAGTTAACGTAGTAAGAAGAAAAGTCTAAATTTTAAGCATACTGGTATAATACTTACCACAACATTAATTGTTGGCTGAATTGTACAGATACAAAACCAAAATTATACTACATCTCCTTATTCTCTAATACATTTATATATGGAGTCTTTGAAATTTTCAATATTTTTTAATTAACTGTAATTGAGCTGAGAGTATTACTATTATTTCCTTTAATAATTCCAGAAGACTATGATTGTATTGGTTTTTGGAATTCTTTGCATACAAAGTAAGTTAGATTTTGATATGTATTGTGCTAATATGTTTGAAATAATGCCATTGTTATCAACGAAGAGCTAAAGACCTAGCCAAAGCACCTCTGGTTTGTACTTACGCATGCATTAAACAGTGCAGACAAGACATTTCACCAATCCCTACACAGAAATGCTACTTGATAATCGATACTACAATATATATATATATAAATATCAAAAAGAAGGAAAAATCGTCTTATTTGTCATTAATTGTTGACATTGATGCATATTTCCATGTGTCACCAATGCATTTGTCGTTATTTTTTAGAATTTGGATTAAGTATATATCATACTCCTCTTTTATCACTGATGATAAACGATTAACTATTGTGAATAAGTTGTGCAATCAGTTGAAGAAATAGCTTGATACAGGCTAAGGTAATTCCAGCAATTCCAATTTTATTTCACGCTTTATTCCTCTTTTGCGTAAATGCAAACTTTCTCCTGTTGAACATCACGAAATATAAAAAAGCCAATGTTCGATCATAAACAATGCTATCATTTTTGTCCAATCAGAGAACAGATTGGCGACAACCCCTAACATTTACCATTTTTAGTTTACTAGCATCTTTAAGGTCAAGTTTATCAAATCGAAACTATACCGATTGCATCGAAAAAGACAATCAAACGCCTTCTTTTTTCTTTCAACGTTTCTCGTTAAAACTTGAGGATGTTTTAACTGTAGTATGCGAGAAAACCTCGACGATGTAAAAATATGTATTTTCAGTGGAATAGGAAAACATTATTCATGGTTTGAGTTTGAACTTGGATTTCATCAATAATAAGATGGGCAATTGTGAATAAAACTGATAAGTACTTGAAAAATAAGAGTTAATCGATCGAAAACCGATAATACCAACCGGACACTAACCCTACAGTTGTACATGTATATCTAACTCAAATTGAATATGTGTACGTTGTATTACAGCTGTTTTTGCTTATACAAGAGATTGTTCCGGTTGGCGATTTGAGAGTCAACATACGACAAATTGGGACAATGCAAGAAGTTACTGTAGCTATCTGGATGGAGAACTTTGGAGACCTACTTATGGCAAGTGGGATTGTGCATCAAGTTTAATCAGAAGGTATTTTTTTTATCTAATTCATATATAAATGTTATATACATTTAAATTTAAAATTCTTTTAATTGCATATACATTGTACAAAGACATGTATCTTTCGATATTACGGAATCAGACAGAGTGCAAAAATACTGTAGCAATCTTAAATATTTTATAATGTCATTCCAAAATTAACTGGTAGTCGGCAATAAGATGCCTTCGCAGATAGATAATGTTAAAGCAAGGGTAGATTTCTAGTGATTTAGATGACATTATTTGTTATTTTTTTATGTAAGATGCGTCTGTGATTTGTAGCTTTACTTGGAATAAAGCAAATGCATTAATTTATTTGCAGAGGAACTTCAATGATAATGTGATACTTCATTTTGTTTGTTTTCCATTTTTAATCTCTGTCTTGTTTGTAACGATACCAGTCCTATCTGTCCTTAAGTTCTCTTTCAAGTTATAGTTTAAAGACGATACAAGAGGTTAAGTCTGTAAAATGGTCACAAAACTAAAATCATGTGATTTTGCATAATTTCTATGAAAATGTTATCAAATTTTCAACTTTATTGTTTAATTTTTAAAAATTATTATTTTGCATCACATTTTTACAGTAACAAGAATACTGTTTATAGTTTACCAGATAGTTTGCTGATTGAATTTAACATATAAGTGACTGATAAAAAAAATTACATTTGTTGCAATGAATAACCGTGATTTTATGATTAAGAAACATTTTCTCTGTTAACAACCCTGCGCCTGTTTATCGAAGCGCTATTAGGCTAAGACATGTAAGACATTTCCTCCGATCATCTTAGGACATATATTTATCCTAAGTTAGTTTATCAAACATGTCGTAACAGAAAAGGCATTGGAGTCGTCTTAAGTTTAGGGCACCTATTTGGGTGTCTTAAGATGGTCTTAGGATGGTCCTAACTTTAGGATAAATTCTATAATGGTTAATTTGTATAAAAAAGGACCGCCGCCTATATATGTTTATTTAGTGAGCAGAACACATAATTTTTATAGAAATAGACCGCTTAAGGACTTTAATAATCCACTGAACTATTTGAGTAACATTGATAAAAAAAAATAATATACGCAGGTATAGATTATTACGTCCGTAACACAGGCGATTGAGAAATGGATTCCTCTTTTTCTAAATATTTTTTTTTTTTATTAAGTAATTATTTTTTAAAACTTTAATCTGTTTTCACTTATCTAATGCGGTCTTTCATGCTCTTATCCGAAAGATATTACAATAACTGTAGTATATATATGACGCCTCTCTATTCTTATAAAATAAGTATAGAAGAGAATCATACATAATGAATCACATTAAATAAATGAAAATAGTTTAAAATGATAAAGAATATTTACTTTAAAAAAAAAGTAAAAACACACGAAAAAAATGATTTAGTAAAAGGAATTACCCAAGCGCATGTGGTCCGTTATGAAATAATTTATTTTTCTCCGTATCTATATGAAAGATGCACTAGATTTTTCTGTGAACTCTGTACAGTATAAAACCCTGACACTTCGTATTAAACTTACTCAAAAATAATTATTATTTTTACTGATTGTATTTTAATTGTCACTATTTACGAAAAGTTTGCTCAATACTTATATAAAACGTAGTTACATTATTTTATGTGTTTGTTTCATAACGTTTTTATGTATAATTATTAGAAAAATATTATTTATGACCTGTTTTTGCGCCTGTCCCAAGTCAGGAGCCTCTGGCCTTTGTTAGTCTTATATGTTTTTTTTTTTTATTTTAGTTCATTTATATGTTTCGGAGTTAAGTGTGACGTCCATTTTCACTGAACTAGTACACATTTTTTTAGGGGCCAGCTGAAGCCCGCCTCCGGGCGCGGGATTTTCTCGCTGTGTTGAAGACCCATTGGTGGCCTTGGGCTATTTTCCGCTCTTTGGTCGGATTGTTGTCTCTTTGACACATTCCCCATTTCCATTCTCAATTTTATTTTAAAATAATACTAATGATAGTTCTAATTTTTAGTCTTATCGTTATAACTACTGGTGAAATTCGATAAATTTTTATATATTTTTAATTTTTAATAGCTATTTTCCTTTATGCTTACACTTAAGACAGCAGTTAGGACATCCTAGCTCAGATAGTCATAAGATAGCTTCAATGTGCATGCTGAGACATGTCGTAAGTCGGTCCAAAAGTTATCCTTATTTATTTCTAAGATATCATGTCTTAGGACAGATCCTAGGACAGCTTCGATAAACAGATGTTTTTCCCGCGCGTGTTTGCAGTAAAATCTCATATTTTAAACGAACGAATATTTTCATTACTACTTTTGCAACAGTTCGTCAGTACTAAAAGACTTTTACAGAAAGGTTACAGATTTCATAATTTGGTCCAAGCTTTTACCAAATTTTAATACAAATGAGAAATAATTCCAGACGTAAGTTGGTTTTTTTTATCTCATGATTTTGTGTTTTTGTGTTATTGTAGAGAAAAGTGCTTGTTCTATTTTTATGGTACGTTCTTTTTGGGGGAAAAGGTGGAGGATTTGATCGACTATTAATCAAGATTATACGGGGATTTAGAATTGAGATTAACAAACATTTTTAATTCCGCATTATTATAGTCAGGTGACATGGAATTTCTTTTGTCATTTCTTAATGTTTTAAATTTGCGGATTTAAAGAAATTGTTGTTGATGGAAGAGCTTTGATAGTCTTTGTTAAATTTATCTTTAACTTTTTTCAGAGTCGGGACAATTTAAAGCTTTACAAATTGTATACAATTTTCTGAAAGTGACCAGCAAAAACAAAACAAAACAAAACAAAACTTTTCTATGGTCAAATAGTCTAACGTTACACTATCAAAATTGCACCGATTACCCAATTTGCACCGATTTTGCATAAAAGTGATGGATCTCTTATTGGTTAACTACGCGTCGCTTGGTAAACTCAATTTGCGACAGTAAAACCAACGTTTTACGTAGGCCAAGCTTCAAATACATTATATATTTTTCTCCTAAGTGTTTCTGATATACCGTAGGTAGTGGCGTAGGAAAAGAAAAATATCAATGATGTTTTTTTATCCAAAAAGTAGACAGAGAAATTGCCTCGACGCCAGTGGTATGTGACAGAGACCTAGGGTCTATTATTTTTACTTTTGCTTGATATCGATACTCCTTTTTTTTTATCAAAATTTTAACTTGAACCACATTGAAACTGCAATAATCTTATGTCGAAATTGTAAACAATTTTCTGCTGTACAAAGTCCAGAATATGACAGTTGTTTCTATCATTCGTTTAATGTGTTTGAGCTTTTGATTCTCCCATTTGATAAGGGACTTTCCGTTTTGAAATTTCCTTGGAGTTTTTTGTTAGTTTACCTTTTTGTAGCATTATATACTCAGATTATTACATGGCATTTTTCATATCAGATGTATTATCAGCCCAAGTTTATATAAACCATACATTTTAGAGACCTACATATAGTAACTTTTTATGTGGACCCTTGCTCTTCAAAATTGAAAGTGAGGTCAAAAATTAAAAAAAAGCAGTTCTAGATTTTGACCTTTTTTTAGTTATCGCTTCTCCTCTGAAACTGTTCAATAAAATTAAAAAAGAAATGGAATAACGTGTTTAGGCATGATGTCGAAGGAAGCACTTGAAAAAGCTATCCTCGAAGTGACCTTGTGTAATTAGAAGTAGCTATTTGTGTTTTTATTTTGTGGAAAGTTTCAATAAACTATAAATTTTTGGATTCAAAATAAAGAAGCATATTCAATGACATATCGTGAAGCAGAAGTAGCAAATAATCCCCATAATTTCATGCAAAAGTACAAAAAATCATGTAATGTTTTAGCATGAGCTAAATATTAACAGTGGTAAAACCGATGGCATGACGCGAGAACAATAGAAAAGTAATCCTTCCAATGAAAACGTCGACAAAATCAATAATAAGTAGTAAAACAATGACGGCGCACAGTATTGATTACAACTTAGGGAACGACCATTTAGCTCCAAAAAAAAGGGGGGGGGGGGGGGGGGGGGGGGGGTTATGGTTTTTTCCAAAAAAAATATTCTGATCCCCAATTTGATGAAGAAAAAATATTCTGAATCCAGATTTCCCCTATACCTTATAGTGTTAAATTTTGAAAAAAAAAAATAATTTGATTGATATCGTCGAAAAATTAAATACAAATGTTCGCAAAATTTCTGACTCAGACAAAAAACTATAACCCCCCCCCCCCCCTTTTTGAAGTTAAATGGTTGCTCCCTTATTTCTAAACAATAGTACATTTTAAAGGAAGAGTTTGTTAAACTGTGTTATCAGAACTGTATATGCAATACACGATGTTTTATGTTCATTGTTTATAAAAATAACAGCATTAGAAGCTTGAAAAACTGCAAAAATAACATTTTTTGTTGCGTTTTAATAAAACAATTGAAAAAAATCATGTAAATGTACATACACAATCTAAAGCTCTTTTAGGTCTCCAATTTTCGCGGTGGTCAACATAGTCCTTTGCATGCAACAATTTTCCAAAATATACCTATTTTGCACAATTAAGTTTTAGATTACACCTGTTAAAATTTGTCATGTGACCATTCAATATAGAAATATTGTCTTTTCGTGAATATAACGATTTAAAAGTTGTGTCTGTGCAGTTTTGAAAATTAAAGATAAATATTTTGCATAGTATGTTATCTGTTAAAGTTTCAACTATTTTTTTTTTAATTTTAAAATTATTTGTCTTGATTTTTGTATATGTATTTCCGGTCTTCTTGATGTTTTTTCAGTCACTGTTTTCATCAATTTTGATTTGCTAATTAATTTAATTTCAAAAGTGTAAATCTTTGTTGCATATCAATCGATTCTTTTGGAATTTTGACACTATATTTCTTCTTCTTCTTCCATTTCACTTTAAAATTCTGCTCTTTTTACATAGCAAAACGATTGATTTAAAATAAACTTCTTTTTTTTTGGTAAAAAAAAACTTTTTTTAATGAGTTTCGAAACTTGATCAATGA